GGCTCCAAGATGGCTTTAACCGGGCTGTTGGCCCTGCTGGCCGGTTGCTGCCTGGCGGCGGGGAGCGGTCCCGCCGAGGCGGCGGAGGCGGCGGCGGCGGCGGCCACCAAGGAGCTGGAGTGTAAGCTGAAGAGCATCACGGTGTCGGCGCTGCCGTTCCTGCGGGAGAACGACCTCAGCATCATGCACGGCCCTTCGGCCGCCGAGCCCAAGCTCCTCTTCTCCGTCCGCAACGATTTCCCCGGCGAGATGGTGGTGGTGGACGACCTGGAGAACACGGAGCTGCCTTACTTCGTGCTGGGTGAGCCTCCCGGGCCCTGCCTGCCGGTACGCGGCGGGTCTCCATTCCCCTTTCTCCTCCCGGTAGCCGAGCATCCCCGGTCCCGGTGTGTGTGTGGGGGGCTCCTCCCTGCGGCACCGGCATGAGGGTACCCTGCAGCAGCAGCATCTCTGCCCCGGTACCGGTTGGCCCCGCTGCAGCACGTCGGCCCCGGTGCCCGTTCAACCTCGCTGCAGCATCCCTGAGGAGGTGCTGTGGGCCTGGGGTTGCTTGGTGCATCCTTGGGTTGTCATCTCCCGGGGTTTGTCTCCATCTCAGCGCAGAGGTCCCCAGTGGTTTGTGCTGGCGGGAGGCCCGCAGTCTGCTTCCAGCGTGGCCCGTTTTTGCTTTGTCTGTCCCCCAGCGGAGCCACCTTTCCTGCAGCCTGGTGGGGAAAAAAAAGAATAATAATACTTGGGTGGCAGCGTTTTCCATCCTGCTTGTGCGTGCTGTCTCCATCACTCCTGCCCCCAGGTTTAGGCTTTGGCCTGCTCACATGGTCCCAGTGGTTCCCGCTCTGGCCAGGCCTCTGAGCTTCACCCACCCCGTGAGGCACATCTGCCCAAATCCAAGGGGCTCCAGCAGTTTTCCTCCACCAAAAAAAGCCACCGGTTTGCTCCTTTGTTCACGTTTGGATGAGAGCAGGGCCTCTGCCACTTGTGCGCTGGGACTTGCTTCCCTCCACACCACCTGGGACAAGTCACTGAGATTTTTAATTTTTAGTGATATTTGTGCAGGATGCCAGTTTCCTACCACCGCCTGCATCTAACCCCCCTGCCCCAGGCAAACGCTTCTAGCAGTCCCATGGGGGCTGTGCACAGCTCTTGCAAACCTTGTCCACCTGCTCCACCAGCACCCTGGGTCCCTGTGAAGTTTTTAAAATGCCACCCCTGTCGGGTTGTCACCCCAAAAATGAGGCTGTGGCATGTTGCTCTGCGTGGCAGTGCCCCTCTGTGCCACCCTTGTGCACGGGCAGAGTGTAGTGGTGGCCACAGACTGGGTTTTCTCCCCCAGGAGTTCATCATCTCCGTGGCCTCTAAACCCCTCCGTGTGGAAAAAAGCCCCTGGTCCTGGGTGCTGGGGGCAGTGCTGGCTGCTGGGTGGGCATCCCCCTTCTCCCTTGGGAGAGGCAGAGGCGGGCAGGGGGCTGTTGATACCGTGTGTGTGTGTGCAGGACACCCAGGGATGATGTGCTTGAGGCTGGGGGCCATGCGAGAAGAGGGTAGTGGGCTAGCAATGTGTGTCCCCCCTCCCAGGTCTGCTGGTCCAAGCCCTGTGCTGCGGGATGCTGCGGCGGAGGCCGGAGAGCGTTGCTGTGGCAACGGGGCGGCAGCGCGGCGGATGCAGGGGGAGGCACCAAGCATGGCCGCCAGCCCCGCGCCACCTTGACGCCCCAAAAGCCACCTTGGGGGCCTGTCCCCTGCCCCCCCTTGGACCCGATCCCAGGGAGCTGGGCCCCAATGGGCTGCGGGGCCTGAGATGCTGCCAGGGGGGCTGATTGGCTTTGATGGGGCAGGGGTCCCCAGGCATGGCCCTGGTTGGTACTGTGGGGATTCCTCCCAGGATTTTTCAAATCCATGAGGTGCCACATGCTGGGCAGCATGGGAAAGGACCTACCTGCCCTGACAGACCCAGGGTTTGCACTGGTGATGCCAGGCAGGGCAGGGTTTGCACTGGTGATGCCAGGCTTTCAACTCCTGCTTGTGGCCACCAGACAAGTATGGGGATGACTGGCCCCGTGTCAGCGCGTCCTGATGTTCTGGTGGTGGCCAGGCTCTCCTGGGCATTACTGCCTGGGACATTGGTTGCACCCCAGCATGTAGGAGTTTGGGCTGTGGAGACACTGAGGTGGTTCTAGCACAGGTCTCCCCGCCAGGGATGCTGGGGCCAGGGGCTGGACTGACAGGAGGAGGGTAACTCGTAGGCCTGCTGTTTGCCAAAGTTTTGGCTTGGTGGCTCCTGGAAAATGCCATGTTACATCTCCCTCCTTCCTGCGAGAGAAGGACTTGCTTTGGAGCTGGCATGGCCACTTTGCCCTGTGTGGGTATTATTATTGTTGTTGTCATGCTGCTTTGGCGTGTGTGTGGAGTATTGTTGTTATTACTGTTGTTAGGGGTATGTTGTTGTAATTGTTGTTATTATTATTGTTGTTATTATTAGCCTGAACACTTCTCTTGCATGGCAGAAGCCCTGAAGCGCATAGACCTTGCAAGACCTGGTCTTAGTAACTCAGAAGCTGCGTCCTCTGGAGCTGGAGAGCCCCCCCAGCCCAAGAAACCCATGGGGTAGAGAGCATCACTGTTGGCACTACGTGCTCGGTGGGGATGTGGGGTTGATGTGTGGAACCAGTGTCCGTGGTTGTGTTTCCACAAGGCTTGTGTGTGGCTGGAAGGGTGTATTCGAGCATCCTTCCGGGAGCCTGGCTTCACAGAGTGCTGATTGCACTGTCCCTGGCAAAGCCCAGACCCCTTAGTTGTGCCCAAGCACCTTTGTACTTCTGAGACAGGTCTGGTTTAGGGATTGTCTACTGGGGAGGGAGCTGGGTGACTACTCCTTCCTCCTCTTGGTGGTTTTTGGATCCAGGACCTGTGTACAGGGAGCAGGTCCCAAGGAGGAGCTGCCCCGCCAGCTGACAGGGTCTTGGTCTGAACCCCAGGGTGCTGCCCCCGGGCCAGGGAGGACCTGGATTTGGGCTTTGAGCACCATGAAGGGCACGGTACTGCATGGGTGCTCCTGGCAGTGGCCTTCAGTCATGTTGGCTCTGCCAAATGGGGTCTTGAGCAACTCCCTCAAGGTTTCTCCGAGTCTCAGTTTCCCCATTGCTGTGGTTTGGGCTGGACTGGCCACTAAAACAAATGATAGATTGATGCTCTCTTTAACTTCTCTCCCAAGGGAGGGAAGAATGAGATAGAGACTTATGGATTGAGAAGAAAACTAAAACTACTTTAATGAAATATTATTATTAAAAAGAAAATATAATAATATCAAAAAGAGAAAATAATTAAATACATACAATATGCACAAAACCAGTATCGAGCTCCCAGGATGATGATCACATCACAGGCAGGCACTGGGAAAGTCCCAGACTGGGCTTAGCAATGGATGACAGCTGAGCTCAGGATCTGGATTTAGGAACACATGGATTGAGATCAAAGGCAGATGAACAGAGTCCCCCTCAGACACCAGCCACTGAAGAAAGAGGCTGACCTCTCTGGTCCCTCAGCTTTTATACTGAGCACGATGCAGATGGGATGGAATACCCTGTTGGTCAGTTTAGGGTCACCTGTCCCACCCACTCCTCCCCACAGGTGCCACCCCTCTACGCTTTTCCACTTCCAACCCTCCAACTTGGTGCATAACAAAATTAGCTGACCTTTGAGAAGAAAACTAAAACTACTTTAATGAAATATTATTATTAAAAAGAAAATATAATAATATCAAAAAGAGAAAATAAATATATACAATATACACAAAACCAGTATCGAGCTCCCAGGATGATGATCACACCATGGGCAGGCACTGGGAAAGTCCCAGACTGGGCTTAGCAATGGATGACAGCTGAGCTCAGGATCTGGATTTAGGAACACATGGATTGAGATCAAAGGCAGATGAACAGAGTCCCCCTCAGACACCAGCCACTGAAGAAAGAGGCTGACCTCTCTGGTCCCTCAGCTTTTATACTGAGCACGATGCAGATGGGATGGAATACCCTGTTGGTCAGTTTAGGGTCACCTGTCCCACCCACTCCTCCCCACAGGTGCCACCCCTCTACGCTTTTCCACTTCCAACCCTCCAACTTGGTGCATAACAAAATTAGCTGACCTTGGTGGTTGTACTTAGCAGGAGCCTCTCTGCATACTATGCCTTCATATTCTCTGTAAACATCAGACCTGATCTACTAGAAGGAGGCACTGTCTGAAAAATACGCCGTTAATTTCAGAGAGTTGGAAGAGGCTTAACTGAAAAGTAAAATTACGGAAAAGATAATTGTTTCTGTTTTACCTCAAACCAGAGCACCCATGAAGTGTGCAGGGAGGTGGCTGTGGCAGGGTGGGACTGCGGCAGGGCAAGGGGAGCAGCCAGAACAGGGTCAGGATTGGGGACCTCAAGGGTGTCCGGGTGTCATCCCCCTTTGGCCCTGGCTGTCCCCCTCAAAACCTTCCTAAATAGTTCAAGAGCTTTCAAGCTTGGCTGGTGTTTGGTGGAAACCTTCGGTTGGAAGAGGCTTAACTGAAAAGTAAAATTACGGAAAAGATAATTGTTTCTGTTTTACCTCAAACCAGAGCACCCATGAAGTGTGCAGGGAGGTGGCTGTGGCAGGGTGGGACTGCGGCAGGGCAAGGGGAGCAGCCAGAACAGGGTCAGGATTGGGGACCTCAAGGGTGTCCGGGTGTCATCCCCCTTTGGCCCTGGCTGTCCCCCTCAAAACCTTCCTAAATAGTTCAAGAGCTTTCAAGCTTGGCTGGTGTCTGTGGAAACCATCATGCGTGGTTTCCCTTGCCTTGGTGGTACCTCCCTGCCATGGTGGCCAAGCTGGGCGTCCCACCAACGGGCACATGGGGCAAGGTTTTTTCCCCAGCTAGAGATGTGTTGGGTCTTGGGAGAGCTACATATGATCCTTACTAAAAATAGGGTGCTGGGGGGGTGTGTATTAAACTGGGCACCCCAAAAATGGCTGTCACTCCCCACCCCTGATGAGATGCTCCGGTAACATAATCAACTTAATGGTGAGCGTGGAGGTTGCAGGCATCCCCTCGCTGCTGGCGGGTGGTGTGGCAGGGACTTTGATTGACCCCCCCCGGCCCCAAGCCAAGCTCTGCCAAGGCTCATCCCTGCCAGTGGGGATGATGAGGAGCCAGGGGCTGTCTGCCCGACCTCGGGGTCTGCGGGGGGTGGTGGGAACGTTGTGTGTGGGTGGTGGCATCCATCCCCTTCACAATTTTGCTTCTCCCTGCTGCCAGTAGTGGTGACCTGCGGGGGGC